TAGTTTTGATCCATTTTTTTTGTTTACAACCCTTTTTCTTTTCTCATGTTTTACTAATTTTTCAAAAGTATAATTTATGCCATCTAACTGTTTCAAGACATCACCATCATTTTTTATAGATGGTGTCATTTAGAGCTCTTCGATACTATCAAAGTAATCTGTTTGATAACATAATACATGATCATTAGGTAACCATGGACGATGATCCATGAAACAATGCTTCTTACTTTTGTACAACCATTTTGAACATGTGGACTCGAGCATAACACGGACATGCAAATTTTCCTTTCGTACTCTAACTAGATAAATTTGCATAAGCGATAAAAGTCATTTATTGTTCAAATCAAAGTAGCTCGTATATTAAATGATTATTTTATAGAAGCATCATAAGTTTCTACATATATTCATAATTTTTTCAAATACTCTATTAAAGGTTGCATGTACAAATCTATGTCATTTCTTAGACTATTCTCACCGGGATAATCATTGATAATATGGATGACGATTACTTCATACAAATCCGGGGTGAAGTATTATACATCAATACAATAGGCCATGTGTTGTATATAGTGTTCATTGTTCTAAAAGGATTAAAACCATCACTAGCAAGTATGAGCCTTACATTTTGAGAATCTAAAGCAAAATCTCGATATTGAGCATCAAAATTTTTCCATGCTTCTCCATCTACGGATGCCTTAATTATCCATCTTTCTTATGACCTTCCTCATAGCACCTCATATCACTAGCAATTTTGATTGAACAAAGTAACCTTTGCAAATGAGGTATTAAAGGAAGGTAATGCAACACTTTTGTTGATATTTTCTTCTTATTGCCTAATGCTTTCATCGGACAATTATCACCTTTTACGTTGCTTTTACCCTCCCCCTCCCTTTTTTTTTTCCATCAAGGAGTACCACATTTATCACATAATTCAAATCTTTTTTATCGCCGTAAAATAATATACAATCGTTTGAACAAGCTTTTATCTTCTCATAATCAAAACCTAAAGCTTTAATGATTTTTTTTTTTGGCTCATGAAATGATTTAGGCAACAATATACCTTTAAGAGATGCAATGGCCAATAACTCGATAATATAGTAAATGATTTCTCGATCCGTCCATTCAAACATTTTAAATGGTATAAATGTTGAAGAAAAGCTACCCTCGAAAATGAATTACATCCATGATATAATTCTTCATTGATATTTTTCAATAAATCATTAACATGTTTGATTCTTGGTTGGACTACTTATTATGTTGTTCTACATCAAACCTTTGACATTACCCATCCATTTCATCATTCATTTGTTCATCATGACTTTTATCGCATTCATATTCACTCATTTTATCTACATTCATTGTCATTTCGTTATCATATTGACTAACTACACCAAAAGCATCACGCAACAAACCAACCATATCATTTGATTGTCATGGATTCACATCGATAGAAGTTGGTTCCTAACTAGAACTCACTCCTTGTACATGTGAGGTAGGAACATAAAAAGATGAACCAATTTTACTAAAAGAAGAACTCTCTCTATGAAAAACCCACCGAGCATACCTCTTTACAAACCCATCACAAATTAAGTGAACTCTAGCATCTTCATATGCTTGTAAAGAAGAATTACCACATCGAATGTAAGGATAAAAAAATAAGACGTATTACAAAATGCTAATTCAAGAAATTCATCAACTCCTTTTTTATATTCAATACTATTTCTAGTTTTATCCATCTAATTTCTATCCATTTCATAAATATTATAGAATCCCTAATATAATGCTATAATTTTTTTCAATAAAAAAAAACCTAACTCAAAAATAGTTATAGTATCAACTAAATTATATCATAAATTACTTATCAACACATTTAGCACCTAACACTTCTATAGTCTCAAATATCAACAACCATTTGATTGAAAACAGATCCTAGCTCTTTTTAAGCACAAAAACAAATGAGATGTAATAAGCTTATTATCTTAGTTATGCTAAGAAATTTATCTTAAAGTAGTCACCTAAATTAGCCAACAAATATGCTTCAATCAACTCAGTTGAACCACCATAAAAAATACTAAAAAAAAAAAAATTCATTTTTATTAGTTAGAAGAAAAAAAAAACTTATCCATTATGTTATACAAAAAAGTAAAAAATATGTAATATTACTCACCAAACCAAGTCTTTAAAAGTTAATCTTCTCTAATGTTTCCACTATTCTTTATACTAAATTTCAATCTACAAATAAAAAAACATACAAATTATAAATAACGTAACTAAGTAATTGCAAGAATGTAGATAGAATCACAAGAACCTCGACTTTGGTGCGAAAGAACATATTTAACTATTGTTTCCTTATAAGAAGGCATAATGAAATATAGATAGAATTAGAAGAAACTTGAATTTAGTTCTATGTGGAATAGAGTTAAGTTTGGATTTCGATAAATGAAAGTGTTACAAAGACATCATTGAAGAATTCACATGAGAGAGCACATAGGAGGCTTAGTAATAGCATTGGTTTATGTTATCAACAAGAGGAAGAAAAAGGGGCTTGCTACTATGAAGGTACTTTGAGGTCTTTCCAATTATGCATTTAAGAATTACTATCCCTTTTGGGCATTAAGATTAGCTACAATACAAGTAGAAATATGGGAGTACAATACAATACAACAAGTAAAATCAAAAAGTCATGTTTACGTAAACAAGTAAAATAAAAAGTCATGCTTACTTCGCATTGGCATTAGGGTAAACCTAGCTTCCAACCTCGCCTTCTCCTACTTTATTTTTCCAAAAACTTTAGCAAAGAAGGATTTGAAATGAGAGATTGTTTACAATACATCAAAATTATTTATCGGACTTTGGGTAAGTTCATTGTCCTATCAAACTTGTAATGCAAGCTACCAATTGATACTAGAGATCAATAAAGAGAAATCAAGCTTAATCACTAGCCTAAAACCAAAGAAATAGGGCTATTTGATCTAGTGGGTAATACAAGTATGAATATGATAGTAAATTAAAGGATTCTTATAACTATGAACCTTACATTTTTAGGAATATGGTATGCTTCTCACTTTCAACGACTAGATTATACGAGTCATGACACAACAAATTAGATAAGAATTCCAAACTTCAAAGTTACAAAATAAGAATAAGACAACATCCATATATATATATATATATATATATATATATATATATATAATCATCTTAGATTTAAACTCGTAGTCTTACCGGTTAGCATTGGCCACCAATTGTTCTACGGAGCACATGCCTACAATAGCAAACATGACAAACAAGAAAATTATGATTTTCTTGGTCATAAAATACTCATTAAACAACAAAAATTTAAAGGTAATTAGGAAAGAAACGAGATCAAACCAAAATTTAAAGGTAATCTAATTGATCGGCTACAAAATTAATTTAGCATACTTACCATTTGAGAGATCAATGAGAAAATCAACCATGAGTATCCAATTGATTTGAAATAAGCCAATTTATGGATAGGAAAGACTTTTAAAATTATAAAATAGGTTTTTTGATAGATATGTATAATTTAATTTCTAACAAGGGGAGAAGGACGAAGTAGAGGAGAAGAAGGAAAAACATAGGAGAAGATGGAAGAATCGGAAAAAAGGAAAACCCTAAGAGGAAAGGGATAAGGAAATGTCTCTCCTCCCTTTCACAAAACAAAACAAAAAAAAAAAAAAAAAAAAAAAAGAAGAAAGAAAGAAAGGAGGAAGAAGTAGAGGAGAAAAGTAAGAAGTAGAGGAGAAGCAGAGGTGAAGAAGGAAAACTCTCGATAATGAAGCATTTGATCTTCTCCCTTTCGAAACAAAAAAAATAAAAATAAAAATGAAGATGCAAAGGAGAAGAAGGAAGAAGCTGATCAAGGTTAATAAGAAAAGGAAGTTGGAAAACCTTAAGAAGAGAGGGAAAATGAAGCGTGCTTCCCCTTTTAAAACCAATAAATAAATAAATAAATAAAATATCAAGAAATAAAATAGTGCGCCTCTCCTTGAAACTTGAGGTGGTTTTGTAAAACATCCCATATTTGTTCTATATACTTCACATCCTAGTTAAAATGCCAACATCCTTTGAGAACCGCCTCAAACATATTGTCTTTATATTGTTATTTTACTGTAGTGAAAATAAGTTATTTTACATCAAATAAACAATGTCAATCAATATGCCTACATCAAAAAGAAAAATAAATCAAAATCTATATACATTGCATCTCTATTTGGTACAAAGAATATGAAAGGAGAAAGTAATTTACGAAACTATTTGCAATAAAAACAAGAAGCAGGTTTTTTGTTTTTTTTTAAAAAAACTTTCTTGATTAGGACACGCTTATCCTTTCCATTGGATAAAACTGATGCAAGTATTCTTCCTAAACTACTCATACTTGTTTCCCGGAAGTCCAAAAATACCCTTCATTCTTTTGTAATTTGAATTTTATCATATATTTTATTTGTGAAACAAAATAAATAAATATATAAATATATTAATTTCTGAAATATAAACTAATTAATTATATTTCTTTATGATATTATCATAAAAAAGTATATATGAAACTAATAAAATAAATAAATAAATAATTTATTTTTGTTTATACCTTGGAGATAAACACATCAATGACCAATGGATGTCTCGTCGATTATCAAAATAATAATAAAAAAAGAACAAATATAAGGCAGTAATGACATTCCTCGTGAGAGATAAAAGACCGAAATTCCTTCTTGATGAAACTAAGATTTAAGATGCAAAGTAATAACTTCCCAGGATATTTTAAATTTTTGCGGTGCCAAACAAAAATAATTTTATGGAAAGAAAGATAACTTTGAAAGGTCATTCGATGGCCTTGTACCATTTAACCAATGGAGATTTGTGTCCTATAAATGCACCTCATATTAACAATACTCATACACAAGAAAACCATCATAATATCATATCTCTTCCTTTTTTTTTTGTTTTTTTGTTTTCTGTTTTTTGGTTTTTCGTTCTTAATGGCAGGCAAACAAACCAAAGGCAGGCAAAAGATCACAATAAAAAGGATAGACAACGAAGATGACAGGTTAATCACATTCTCAAAACGTAGATCTGGGATCTACAAAAAAGCAAGTGAGTTGGTGACTTTATGTGGTGCTGAGGTTGGTGTGCTTGTGTTCTCACCAGCCGGCAAGCCTTTTTCCTATGGTCATCCTTCTATAGAATCTGTTGCAAATCGATTCCTTGGACAGAACCCATCACCAAATGATAACACCCATCCTCTTGTTGAGGCTCACCGAAAGGTGAGAATTAACGAGCTAAGCCAGCAACACAATGAACTACTTAGCCAGATGGAAGCTGAGAGAGACCGAGGAAAGGTGCTAAAGGAAGGGACAGATATTGGACAATCATGCCAAGGTTGGTGGGAAGTTACCATTGACGAGCTCAACCTGCAAGAGCTTAAGCAAATGAATGTGATGCTAGAAGAGTTTCATGAGAATTTGTTCAAAAAAATCAATGAGCTCAGAAGAAATGGAGGAGCATCTTCATCATCTTTCCCAGCTCATGCTGACCGCTCAATTAATATTCCATTTTACCAGCTCTAATGCGAATGGGGCTAGATCTTCCTCCATAATTTTCTCCTTTTTCAAATAACTCTAGCTCAGAACTTTCCATTAATCTTGTTAAGTCTCTTTTTTAAAAATAATCATAAAGTTTAAGCTGGCTAGTAGCCTTCCATTACCATAGAAAAAGCATGCGCTCCACTTCTTTTTCATATATTGCAATAACTTCATGAACATTACGGTTTGTTTGAATAAAGGCAATGGATCATCAATCCTATGTTTAGTTATGTAATTTTCAATTTGATTTGTAATATAAGAGACCATTAGAATTGTAATTTATCGTTCCATTACACATATATATATATATATATATATAATGAACCACTGCATGATTAAAAGTAATCATTCAAGGTCGACTAAAATATAGTTTAAAAAAATGACAACCAAAAAATTTCAAACCAAAAAATTTCAAATAAGTACCAATTTGTAAATGAAAATAAAATATTGTGATTAAATTGAACTTCAAAAAGGACTGAGATAAAACTTTATTTGTAAAAGTCTCAATTATATTACTAAGAATTTTTGTAACCAAACAAATATATGTAATGAATATTCTATTCTATTCCATTATATACCGTGATTTGTTTTTCCTTTCATATGGTAAGAGAATTGAAGCGTAGATATATAGTCCATGAATAAACATGACTGATTAATGCAAATATTCAAACATGTACTTTGTGACAAAATTGGAAAACAATATCGGAAACAGTTAAAAAAATTGAAAAATGGATATATTATCCGTATAAAGACAATTTGATATTACTTTCCTTAAAATTAAAATTCCTGTATAATTGCTAATTTCGTATATATCTATGAAAGTGTGAGGTCCCCGTACACAAAATTTAGCCTAATTATGACATTCTCTCCCTTAATGGATAAAATACAATAAAAATCGGATAGGAAAATTAATTCTATCCAAAAACTTTTATTTGAATCATTCCATGTACGTAAACAAATTGATCTTATCCATCAAGGGTAGTATAAAATCATTTATAAAATCTCGTTTAATAACTTAACTTTTTGGGTTGAAATATTTATTTGATATATTATCACAATCTTATTAATCTTATAGTCAAGAGGTTGAATTCTAACATCTCGTAGTGATGAATCTATATAAGTTTTAAATCCAAAGAGTTTTCACTTAAGAGAATATGTTATAGAGTAATATAAAATTATTTTTAAAATCTCACTTAATAACTTAAATTTTTGCATTGAAATGATTTTTTTAACAATCCACAAGCAATATACATCTATCTTACCATGTATATTAGGCAAGAGCCAATTACTAAAAAGCTCGTAAAGTAATTAATTTTTTTTTCAATGATAAGAGTATCTTTAGGTCATTATACATATCAATTGAGGCTAAATTCCTTTCTAGGCAACCTTAAGGGCACACTCCTACATCCACCTAATGCATTCAATTTTTACTAAATTCTCCTAAATGTTGGCCTTAAAGTTTGAATCTAAATCTAACTTAAATACACTTGCAAAATGGATGTAGCTTTCACTAAGTCTTGTGGTTTTGTTACAAGAACTAGCCATGTATATAAAATTGACACGGATCTTGTAAAGATAATGCCAAAGTTAAAGCACACAAGCATAACAACTTCAAATTGAAATTAACAACTAATAATTCAATAACAACCAAAGTTTAAACACTAACTAATTAATGTATCCGAAACATAAATCAACACACTACAACACATAAAAATCAAATAAACACAAACAATCTCAAACTCTAATTTATAGTCAAAGCCAAAACCCTAACCCAACTAATAACTTTGTTGAAATAACCAAGTTAACTTATAAGCAAGTTCAGGTTCTTAATTCAATTAAAATAAATAAGTTTAGGTCTAGATATGTAGATGTTGAAACTTACAAGGACAAATAGCACTTAATTGATTTTGGCATAAGTCTAAGAATCAACTACAACTTAGTAAAAAGGATGCGTTTGCAATCCTAAGCAAGCGAAGTGTAACACCTCCGACCCGAGACCTAAAGTAGGTCGAGAGTATTATTAGCAATGCTTCACATTCAAAGTGTAATGAATGCAAGACACAAAGTCTCATGACCTTGACTTTTCTAAAATAATTATTATTTAGAGCGAATGTTTCTTAATTAAAAGTTTAGGTCCATCCTTTATTTATCACACTCTAATTACAAATTTATTTCATTAATCTTTCAAAGATAATTCATTAATAATCTTTATCTAAACTCAACTCATGAAAACATAATTTGAGATCTCCTAATGAAAAATTTTTAATCAAATAATACTTGTATAAAATAGAAACTAATTTAGTCTTCATAAATATATTAAGTTGTAAACAATGTTTCGAAAATATAGTTATGAGAAACAACATTTATGAAAACATACGATGTTTCTAAAATATACATATAAAAATATATTACGTAATAATTATCTCAAAACCATTTAAGGTCTATACTCATTTTCATTTAATCAAATACCCTTTTATTATCATGTCAAATAAATATACTAATGGTGAAATAATTCATTTAGTCTTTATTAATTTACTAACCTAGTTAACATGTGTTTCTTTATTACATATACAATAATTCCATCAACCTTTAAATTTATAAAGTCATTTTGTAACTTTATAAATTAGGAATCCTATGGATTGAGATCCATTTAAATACTTTGATTAAAAACTTCATTTAAGTTTCTTGGAAGCTCAATTGGGTTTTATAAGTGATTAAAATCATCATTTAATAATTAAACTAATTAATTAATTAAATTTCATTTAAATCATCTAACCATTAAATCATTTCATATATTCCTTTCTTGATACCATTTAACCAATCTTATACACACACACATACACACACCCACACACCATTTGATCATATTAATTCAAGACACAAAAGTCAATTACTTAATATTTACATACTTAATTATTTGTTAGGTTTAAGAACCTTTAACTATTCATATCCATAAAATTAAGCATAGAATACTCGAACATATCAACAAGAATAAAAGAAAAGATAGATATAGGTCTTCTATGCTAAACCTGCAGTTAAAGTACACTTTTTTTTTTTTGTAACCTAGGCATCTTATAGCAACAACTTTGACTTTAAAACTTGTTATCTTTTAATAACTTGCTTTCCTACACCATATAATTAAATTTAAATGATGAGTTGATGCTCGGTAAGTGAAGTCTATATATGCATGTCATGTAATGCTTGATGGATGATTTAATGAAATACATTTTCATGACTTCGATATATATTTTCTATGATCGAGAGCACCTTACCGAATATATTTATATATATTTAGCTATTCATGAAAATCATGTATGTGAAAACCATGAAAAGCACTAGACATATCTCTTATGAAATCTGTGATTTTCCTATGAATCTTATGATACCTACAAAGCGTTGATCATTCTCTTTGTACGTCATGATTGAGCTTGTGATTGTGATTGAGACATGCCTAGCCATTTTCTTAAAAATTATATCCTTTTTCCTTTTTTTTTTTTTAAACATGATGGAAAACATTTTCATGCTCATGTCATGATTATAAATACAATGGTATGCATTTCCTTATCCTTTTAATTAAACATTTAAACAATGATGTAAAAATGATCATGAACTTGACATGTGATAGTATTATGCACCTTTAATCATTAAACCATATATAAATTAAACACACGAATACATACACAATAATTACATAATACAATTCAAACATAATAAAATTGGCACTTTGCCAAATATAAAGTTATCAATTAACATAATCAATAAAATCACATAAACTTGACAATTAATCAACTCATTCAAGCATAACAATCAAGTTAGACCAAAATCATCTCAATCACAACCAATTAATAAATGTCCTTTACCTAAGCTAAACCTTGACATTAGACTAAGTGATATATCTTTTAACCATCAAATAGGAAAACATATTCTAATTAACCTTAAACATCACATAACTTGAAATACCCATCTAGCTTTCTAAGTAGTAGCTAGTCCATGTCCTTTAGAAAACATAAACCATCACCACTAAGGAATCATATCCTTAGATAATATCAATCATCATCATTAAGAATCATCAATTCAATAACCACAAGTTGGCATGCCAAATAATTCTTTAGTTATAATACATAATTCTAACATTAATCACCAAACTATCAAATCATTTCAAATCCATAAAGATATCAAGAACAAATATTTAAGATCAAAACATAAACTAAACCAATTCACGCCTAATTCTCATCTTAGCCAAATTCTTCCTTAAGCAAATCCATACCTTAATAAGCCTCAATCAAGCATCTAATTAAACTAATTTTACATTAATCATACTTATACAACCCCACATAAAGCAAATTTGCACTTAAACATCAAACTACCCATTCTATTTCTAGATAGGTTTTGACCAAATGCTTCATCCCTCAACATGACCAATAATTTCTCAATTATACTTTAACTAACTTCAAATCTAACAAACCCATTCATCACTTAAATCACTTAATTCAAAGCATAAACATTTAGATTTCATGTTAATTCAACATAACATTTACCTATCAATTGGGCATTTAATCAATCAATTGAAGCATCCGTAATTTTCATCAATCAACGTACCAATTACATTTAAATTAGGTTAATAGAATTTCACTTACCTCTAATTAGCTTGGTCTTAATAACATTTGAAGAATTTGCAAGCTTTCTCTCTCCATTTCCTCTTGGGTATTTCGGCCAATCCACCAAAATTTCCCTTTCTTTCATTTTGCCATCTCCTTCTTTTCTTCTTCTCTATCATTCGAGTTCTTCTTCTTTCTTGCTAAATCATTCTTTCTTTCTTTCTTTCTTTCTTTCTTTCTTTCTCATAGTTTCTCTCTTATGGTTTCTCTCTCTCTCTCTCTCTCTCTCTCTCTTTCTTTCCAAGTTAGTTTGTTATTCCTTTTCATACTTAATTGACTTAACATTCCTAAGTTTTTCTCTAGAAGTCTCTTTCACTTTCTTTTCTC